GGCCGTGCTCACCAGCGGCGGCGACGCACAAGGTGGGCGCGGGCTTGGGGCGGCAGCGGGGGCGCTGGGTGGGGCACGGCCAGGCCAGGCCCCCTCCTCTGGCGGCCGCGAGGGCCCGCTGATGGGACACGCAGCATGGCTGTCACCAACGCCCCCGGGGCGGCCCCTGCCACCTGGTTCAGGCTGCCGTGTGGGCCCAGGCAGGACCCCGCGGTGAGGCCAGTCGCGGCACATCTGCCCTTGACAAGGCATGGCGATGCTAAGGTCGCACGCTTGCCCCTGCCGTCCTTCCTGCCCCCACAAGCTGAGCTGTCATGTCTGCCTGGCCCCTTCTTACACAGGCTGGGTCCCCCCTTCCTGGACTGGCCTCAGGCCGCGGGGGTTCCCCAGCATCCTGGCGGTCTTGGCAGGTCTTACATTTGGTTTTCAAATCCTCCCCCCGCCACCCTTGGTTCCTTCATTTCTTAAACCCTTTTGTTTGCTAAATGGTCTCTGCCGTCTTGCAGTGCCGTTTTGCCCCCTGACAGTGTGATGCGATGGGTCCAGAGCCAGCTCTCCAAGCAGTGCCAGGGACCCAGGCACCAACCCCTAGCTGCTCTCGCAGGTGGCCCCTCAGCAATTGGTAGCTGCTTGGGGGACTGCAGCAAACTCCATGAATCGGAGGAGGCTGAAACACTGTCCAGCATCAGAAGATGCTCCAGAGCCACAGGGCAGTGCAATAAGCCAGGTGTGGTGGCACTTCGAAGTCAGCATCCCTCCAGCAGGTGATCCGCTGAGCAACTAGGCTCAACTTGAAGGCAGTTGTGCAAAGCCACAGGTTCCTTTAAAGCAGATGGGCTTTGTCACAGTTTGAGACATAGAGGCAAGGATCTGGAGAAGCGCTTGCTGTTTGTAAACAGTGGCTTCATAGAGCTTGCGGCAGAGTAAGCTCCTAAATACCCCTAGGTCGAGACATGGCTGCACTTCATCCTAGCTCTGCCCTTCCATATCCATGTATTCTGATGATGATATCGTGCGTGATTGCATCGTGCTGTTCTTATGGCAAGGAGAGCGTGTTTAATGACTCTTTTTGTTTAAAGGTTGCATAACACAGCAGCTAGAGGCTGGTAGAAGCTGCAGTTTGCCACTGCTTCTCCATCCCCTTGCAGGCCAGAACTTCCCATCCCCAGATTGAGAAAGACAGTGATCTGCATTCATGGCTGCACATCCCTATGATTCTTTGACCTTCCTGTAGCCATTTTTCACCACTAGATCTCAAAGTGTTTTATAAGACAGGGTGCTATCACATGCCAGGGGAGCAGCTGTTCATGCACACCTTAGTCATGAAATAAAGGAAATTTCCCATGGGAACATTTCACCTTCTCAACCTCAGCTGTTTTAGTGTTGAAGCTGTTTCAAATAAAGACTTAATTGGGATGCATTTGTAACGGTGACAGTGCTGTCCATATTTTTGCCCTCTCTGTTTCACAGTGGCTGAACCGACTGTTCCCAGGCATTCTAGAAATCTGGAAAAGTCTAGCCTGAAAGGTAGAAGTTCTGGAAAATGTTGTGTGACTAAACAACAGGGTTATTATGCAGATGCTTTTGTGTCCTGTCCCCTTGTTTTCTGTGGATTCCTACCTCTATGGCCTGTCACTTCTTATTAAGTAATTACTTCATAAAATCTTGTGGCAGAATTTCTTTTCACTTGTCTGTAAAGCACCATGCAAGCCAGCAGTGGTGACACAACGTATCAGCATGATGCTCCTAGTTGAATGTCCTTGAAAATCCTAAACAGTTCCTCTTTCTTGGTTGCTTGCATCAAATACCTGTAGTTCCGCCGGTAGTAATTATTTGCCAGCAGGCTCTGTGCTTAATTATCTTAACCAGTCCTTGATTTCCAATTTCTTGTCTTTTGCACGACGGTTTTTGAACATTGCTCTTGCGATTACTTTTTCTCTTTGTAATATGAGATGCATTTAGCATCATGCATCAGCTCTTCCAGGCAAATTTATAGAGCTCCACTGATTTTTTTTTTGTTTGTTTGTTTTGGAGCTACCCTGCTTTATGCTAACAGGATCTGCACTAACATGTTTAATATCACAAGCCCTTTTTCAGTTCGTTTTCTCAGATGGTGAGAGTGGCAGTGAAAGGTTGGAAAAAAGAAGTGGAGTCACACACACAAGATGTGTAAAGTAACCTTGCTAAATTTTGTTGTGGGGCATTGGATTAACAAAACCAGGGGAGGAGGGCAGGAGAGAGGGAGTGCCTGCCAGCAGGAGAATAATAGAGCATGACCCCACTGATATGGTATCCCAGTGATGGCTATGGAAGAAGCTGTTGTGTGGACAGGACAGAGTAGCCCTGCAGTGTCCAGATTATACCAAGGCTTCCATCATTGCTACAATGTGGGGGAATTATAGAGCTGAATGAACACAGGGGAGGCACACTTATTTCAGTGCATGTTAAGAAACCACTTTGAGTTACTCTAACTCAGAAAATTGCATTCATCTCCTCTTCCAATCTTCTAAAACTCTTAAATCTATGCCATAATGAAGAGGGGAAACTTTGGTGCGTCCCTGTTAATATCCAAGTGCTCTTATGTTTCAAAATTAAACCTTCCCTTTTTGTCATTGCTTGTGTTCCTCCAGCTTGGTTTTTGTTGTTCACGGTCAGCTTTTTGCTTGAGGGACTCCTGCAGTGACTTTGAGAAAACGAGCCTCTTGCCCAGGCAGGTTGCTGAAGTAGGGAAAATATGCTTTGGGGGTGGGGGAAGGGAGGCAGGGGTTGAAAGAAGTGGATGCTTTCCTCTAATTGGTCCTGATTCAGTAAAGCACGTACGTAACTTGAAGGCTGTGCTTAAGTCCATCCCTATTCAGGAATGCCTGTCAGCGCCTGCCTAAAGCTAGGGCTGTGAACACGTGTTCAAAATTAAGCACATGTTTAAATGCCTTCTTGAATAGGGGGCCTAGTTAGCAGTCCAGCGCTTCCTGCCAGTACAGTTTTGCAGGTAGCAGGGTTAGGTTGCAGGTCCAGGAAGCTGGGAGTATCTGCCCAGTTTCATGTTGAGCCATAGGGTGAATAGGTAGACAGCTTGTTTAGCTTCCTGCAGATTTAGTTTTACAGGCCACGGTTCAAGGATTAGCCGACTGCTGGAATTCTGGGGGTGGCGGTGCCCTGAAGGAGATCTGTCCAGGGCTCCTGAAGAGTCCATACCTGCTTACACATTCCTTTCAGCCTGCTTGCTTTGCCTGAGTTTCTCTAGCAGGGCAAAGAACAAGGTAGAGTTGATTGATTAATGCTGCTTTCTGTTCAGAATCAAAGGGCAGGACGAATCAGGCCTGTTTCCTAGAGATAAGTCAACGACTCACAGAAATGATTTTTATTTTGTATATTTAAAGGCTCTTCCAGCCTTTTGTAAAATTCCTAAAAAGGAGCTACTATAGCATATATAGCTGTAGCTACATCCAGCCAACACTAGGCAGACAGGTAGCCTAACCCATGGGAACAGTCTCAGAGAGATTAATGGATCACAGGATGGCTGCTGTCTTGTCTAAGGGTGTGTGTAGACGAAACACGGGGGAAGAGTGCACAACAATTTAAAGTGGGTTAAATGCTTTTGCACCACTTTAATGGTGTTGGTGTTTGCATGCATCGGCAGCATATTGCACATTAATTCCAGCTGCTGCAGCACATTTGGCAGTGTAATGCACCTTAAATAACTTTGCTTGCTCCGAGGAGTTTTAGTTTGCAGGGGGTGAGGCACTAGGCTCCGTGCAGCTCTGGGGCTCTGCAGGCAGTTCATGCAGGCAGCCTGGCAGCAGCGCAGGAAGGCAGGCTCCACCAAAGGGAAAAAAAAAAGCGGCAAGCAGTCCTTCCCTCCGTGGTTGTGGTGCCCCCCGAGACTGCCTGAGCCGGGTGCTGCCTGGTGTGGGGCTGCTACAGCCATATAGGGAAGCATCAGTCCCCCCCAGCCCAGGGGCTGCTCTGCCTGGCGGCAGCTCACCCTCCCCTGCTGGAGAGGCGGGTAAGACACGGGTGTACATGACACGGGGTTTACTTTACCCTAAATTGAAGTGGCTTTTTTAAAAACCCACCACTTCAATTTAAGGCCCCTGTTTTATCTACACATGCCCTAAGCACTTGCAGGATCTGTCCCCAGGTAGCTAACATGCATCTTAATAGGGTGCAACCTGACAACAATTAGGCAGGTGTTGAATTGGGACTGTTGCTCTAGTTGGTTAAGAACAACACGCTGGTGTGTTCTTTTTGTTCACCTAGGTCAGGGGTGTCAAACATATGACTTGTGGGCTAGATGTGGCCTGTGAAGCCATGTGATCCAGCCTGCAAGGTTCTTAGAGGGGCCAGGGATTCAGGGGTAGGGTCTGCCACCAAAATTGGGGTGTGGAGACCTGTTGGGGACACATCTCAGTGCCAAGGCAGTGAGCAACAGGTATATTAACCCCTGAGCTCCCTGGATCTGGATCCAGCCCTTGAGGAGCTCTCCAGTTGGGATCCAGTCCGGGGGTGCTGGGTGAGTTTGACACCCCAGACCTAGATTATATTGTCTGCTGCATTTGTAAAACACCCAGCAGAGCACAACCCCATTCTCCTGGAGCTTAAGCGCCTGTTGCAAGGTTAGTATTTATTTGTTGATGAGTCTAAGCCACACACTTTCTGATTTCTCTAACAGAATCTATAACAGCACAAATACAGTCCTGACAAATTATGAACTAAGTGAACTGTTCCATTCTCTGCCCTCTTTTCAGCCGTCCTTTCTGATGGCAGGCGCAAAGTCCCTCAGTGTGGCGGGGAAGCAGGAGGTCCACACTCAGGGTTGCAGTGCATGTGTTGAATACCTGAGGTTATTTGACAGTAGAGCCCCAGGTTGGTTCTTTAGCCCCATGCACATTTTTATTTCCTTTGCAATTTTACAGGCTAGATCATCACTTCCAGGAATGCCGTTTGCATTTCAAATGTCAGAACGAAACCCTCATGGCAGGACTTGAGAAATCCTTTTGTGATGTGCCCTCAACAAACAGGAAATTCATCTTGGCAGCTGCTTTCCATCATTACAAAAAACAATGCTTTACAATTTGCTACAAAAATTTGCTTTAAAAATATGTTTCTAGCTCACGAGCACAAAGACCCTTCCAAATATGATCGAGGATGAACCAGTAACATTTCCCTGGTCAGCAAAAGCATGGATTAAAAAGTCAGACAGAGAAATGAAAATAAAAGCAACAGGTATAACAAACACTTAAAAATGTGAAATAGGTGACAACATATTGCAGTTAAAGACAGCAGAGAATGGCCTTTCTGTACATGATGGGATGTGGCTGGCACGGACACACACACCATAGGGATGTAGGATTGGAAGGGACCTCTTGGCTCACCACATCCAGTCTTTTGCCAGCAGTAGTGCAACTGTGGGTGAGCAAGCAGGGCACGGGCCCTGAGCACTATATAAGAGAAGTGGGGAAGGCAGAATGGAGCTGAGGGGAAGCCTCCTCCTCCCATTCCTGTCCCCCCCCCCGGCCCCCCACAAACCCTGCATCTTCCCTGCAGCAGTTCCAGTTGCTGGGAAAGAGTAAAGAAGATGTCACCTCCTGGTTTTGCCTCTAAAAATCAGTGTTCAAATGCCTGCTGGGTACATGTGCCAGTAGCAAAAAAAGGAGGTGGTATTTCCACCCCTACCTCCTCTCCAGCAGCAAACCACCTAATCTGCCAAGGGCACCATACTGGCCAGTTATGACTGCCTGTCTCCCTGGAGCTGTTAGATTTGCTGTTGGGTCAGTGCAGTGGTGGGAGGTTTGATAGAGTGACTGTCTTCTGGCAGGGTGTTTTCCTAACCAAGCTGAGCCCCTTTTTGCTAAAATATATATTTTAAAAAGTGCTTTTTATTTTTAATTACTAAAAACACCAGGTCGAATTCATCTCTGGTGCAGCAAGGATTTCACTGGGGTCAGTGCCTCATGAATGCGGATGGAAGTGGCTGGTCCTTTTGCAGAGTGGTCCTCCTGAGCCTCCAGTTCAGTAGAAAGAAACAGTACGTGGAGACTTGCTCCAGACAGTTCAAATAACTGCTGGGGTCCTACTGTCTGTCTTCACAACTCTGGCTGTGTGTGAAAGGCACTACAGTTCTCTTTATCAAAGTGCTTTTGCAAACCCATGATGTGAGCAATTGCTATGGGATGCAATCTGAAATTGCGCAGTCAGGCTAAAGCAGTTGGGACTTGCTACATCATCCTTCAGGGACCTGCAGTAGACCTAAGAATGAAAGCCCTGACAAAGAAGGAAGGAAGGAGCTCTCCACATCACAGCTCCAGTAGAGGGGAAGAGAATGGCAAAGGGGGTAGATATATTAGGGGAGATCAGGTAATAAGGGCAATGGGGAGTGCATTACAAAGCATCACTGCACCTGATTTAGTGATCCAGTGTTTTCTTCAACACGGTAGCATTTTCTAGCATAGAACCAGTCCTGGAGAGGAAGTTCTGTTGAGTTAGCACAGCAGCCTTTCATCTGCAGGGAATTGGATTCAGTCCAATTCAGGCCAAAAGTCAACTGAGTCTGGATGGGTCGTCCTAGTCCCTTGTGAATACTTTTCCACATCAAAAAAACAGTTACCCATGGCGGCACAGCTGGCTGATCAAGAGCCCTCTGCCTCTAGGATGGTGGGAAGGTTACAGATTTTTAGGCTTGCTAGCTAAGATGTGGAAGAAAACTTGGGACATATTTGCCCAGTCTGTACCTGGTTTGGGACTATTGCTTTTACAAGCAGTTACAATATCTATGCTTTAATTTTTGCTTTTAATAAATAGGCTTGTTTGCTTTTTGTCTCTTTATTGTGGGGAGGGGGCAGGGACTTCCCTCCCTCAATCTATTCAAATGTAGGGAGGAGCTGGAAAACCTTAGGAAATGAACTTTATTGTGAAATTTCCTCTGGCTGCCAAGCTAATAACCGATGCAGAAAGAAACAAGGAAATAAAACCTTCCCCCTTGGTTGAGGAATCTTCCTCACTCTCTCTGTCTCCTAGGCCAGTCTCTCCTTGCCCACCTCAGATTTCTTCTCTCCTGCTTTCTCCCTTCCATTCAGTCTCTTCTTTCCGTTTTGCCCAGAAACCTCCATAATAGTCCTAAGGCACAGATGAGAAGCATTAGCCAAGAGCTGAGGAACACAGACAGCTAACTTCTCTCAGCTTCATGCTAAAGGGTGTTTTGAATGCTGCTTTTACATTTATTCCCAAGGTCCAGGCCATTCTTAGTGGGGATTGTTGTGGAATCCAGGTAATCCGTGTAAACACACTTCAAGAAAACCCAAGGGTGTACTGCAGTAGTAGGCTCATGTTTATTCTGTTGCATTTAGTTTAAGCCCTGTATAAAAGCAAGTATTTATAATGTGCTTCAGTCTTGTATATGAAAGTTGTTTGGATCCACATATCTGTTGTTGGAATTCCTCCTTCTATCATGTTCATGTTTGCAAATCATTCCTACACCTATATTGTTAGCCTCTAGTCTTGTGATCGATTATTCATAGTTATGGGGCTCCAAGGAGCAGCACCCCTTTTCTGGTCCATATAACAAGTGTCCAGTGCTGCATTAGCTGAGCAGAGGGAGGTGTTGAAGTCCTCTGGGCCTGCTGTTTATTTTGTGTTTCTTTTTCAGGTATGAATGCCGCTGTCCGTGCTGTGACTCGCATGGGAATTTATGTTGGAGCAAAAGTTTTCCTGATCTATGAGGTCTGATTTTTTATTCCCCCCCCCCCCCCCCCCCCCACTGTGCTTGGTCATTGTAGAGGGGCAGAGACCATCCAGCTGTGTCTTTTAAATGGTTATGTACTGCAAAAATGAAACTCAGAGGGGAAAACACCCTGGGGCTTGACTAATGCAGTGATAATGCATCAGTCATTCTCCTGCAGAGACCTGCACTCAAATCCTACTTCTAGTAGGGCAGTATAATTACTACCTGGTTCTAGGTATGATTTTACTGAGGCTGAAGAGGAAAAGGTCTCATCTGGCTTCAGGTGAGAAGTCAGTGAGGGTTGGCAGTATAACCCAGGAGTCAGAGTCATGACTCCTAGGGCACATGCACACATGTATGCAATGCAGTGCTGGGTGCTTTTAAAAGCACACTGCACTGCATCACATGCATTTGTATAAATGGCAAAATACGCATCAGCGCTGAGAAAATGGCAGCGGTGTGCTTTTGAATTAAATCACACCTAAGGTATTTTAATTTCAAAGCGCGCTGATGCCATTTTTTTTTAGCGCTAACGCGCACTTCACCATTTATACAAATGCATGTGACACTGCGCCAGGCACATCAGTTTGTGTGCTCCACAGACTCGATTAATTGAGTCTGCTCCAATATGCTGAATTTCTGGCGTGTCAGAGCAAACAGATATATGTGTATAAAAGCCCTTAATCTCTGCCACTCCAGGTCCAATCAACGTTTTTATCTGACAGGCAGCTTTGGCCCACACTGGAGCAGCAGAGGCAGCTTTAGCTTGTGGCTGAATCTCAAGGACAGAGCTGTCAGACAAGAAGCCCGTTGCTCTCGAGAGCCGTGCCTTCACGGCTTTATAGGGACCCCTTGTTTGTCTTCTTCACTGTCAAGCTCCCTTGGAGTTTAGCACAGACTCTGCCTTCCAGCCAGCATAGTTCCTGTCATAGGAAACAGTGGGGTAGTCTCATCAGTCAGGGTGGATGGTTTTCATGCTCTGCCTTTTTCCATGCGAGATGGAGCTCTTGCTCTTTTGCTTTGCCAGCAAGGTCTGCTCCCAGGCTTGTTAGGAAAACAAGCAGATTAAGCCTCCGAAAACAGCCCTGTTTCCCCTCAGGAACTTAGAAACCCAGCTGGGGAAATACCTCACATTCCAGGCACTGTATCACTATCTGCTTGCTGGTGACCTTGCTCCCAGGCACGTGCAATCAGTAGGGGCCTTTCTGTCAATACCGATGGCCTTTGCATCGAGACCCAGAGGAACAGGCTTATCAAGGGTGCACATGAATGCAGTACTGGCGACCCCAGGGTCTTGTATGACCTTGGGCCATCGATCAACCAGTTGCATGGTGCCCTGGAAGCCCACTAATGCTCTTCCTTCAAGAGTTTATTGCTGTGAGACAAAAGCTAGTTTAATATCTCATTTAAAAAAAATAAGAGCAAATGCAGCTGTGCCATGAGCACCTGTGGAAGGTTCCTCACAATGTATCCTTCTGCTGTAGGGTTGTTGGTTGTAGCCATGTTGATCTAAGGACATAGGCAGACAAGGTTCTTTGGGTAGATGTGATATCTTTTATTAGACTGGCCAGCAGACTCTCTCTGTGCCTGATGAAGGGTGTTTGTGCCCAAAAGCTTGCAAAGAACATTTTTCTCCCTGTTTAGTTGCTCTAATAAAAGATATCACATCTACCCAAAGAACCTTGTCTGTCCTTCTGCTCTAGAAATTGGTACCCTGTGCAGAATTAAAGGATGGAGATATTCATTCTGTTATTCGCTCCTTTGAATGCATGTGGGTTTTCTCACCTCGTGCTCCTGGGCTCTCCTCTTGGACTATTTGTGCCCGTTTCTCCCCTAGTCCCAGAAGCCATGTGATCCTTTAGACTAGAGGTTGGCAACCAATGGCCTGCAGGCTGAATCTAGCCTTCAGAGCTGGGGTGAGGTGCATGGGACTGTGGCAGTATTCCAGCGGTAAAGGGCTTGGCCATTCCAAGCTGGGTCATTCCAGCCCACCTCTGGACAGAGTTGCCAGCTGCTACTTTAGATGGCAGGCTTCCCTGCTTTTTAGGATGGTGGAGTACCTCTGGGATGATCTTTTCCTTTAGCACATGTAGAAGTGGCTGAATCATGGCAGCTTCTGATTTCTTGGGAGACTGATTCTGTCTTCTCTGTGAAATCCCCCACACAGTCCATCCTGGCCTGTTGTCCATGTAGTTATCAAAGGGCAGCTGTGGGGACCCTGCCCTGTTTGGCCCCTCAGAGAATCGCCAGGGTTTGCTCTCTTCTTTGCCCATTACTTGATATCTTTCTGCTTTTTCAAGGCCAGGCTGTAGCTCAGAGAGGCCGAACACTGCTTCTGGCTGCAGATGTCACTTGCAACACCTTTAGGAGGAAAGAGAACATGATCAGGCCATGATTGGTGTGGGGGATTTTAAGTGCTGAAGCTCTCTCCCTCCTCCTTTAATTCATGAGGGATCTAGTGCAGTGAGTCCATGAAAATCTCTGGGTATGGATATCGTCTGGGGTGTGCTGGCACAGCCTCGCTCCACTTGCTTTGGGGACTTTGTAGAAACTAAGGACCTGGCCCAGAGGTCAGATGCTTAGAGCAGAAAATCACTTTGCCCTCAAAACACACAGCAAGTTCCAAATGTTTCCACGTGCCCTGTCGGGTCCTCAGGTACATTCGTTTGGGGACATGGGGGAGGAGGTTGGATAGATATCAGTTCCCTTCTGCCCTGTTTCTTCTGTCCTTTCTTCAGGATCCCCTTGTATCCTCCAGCTTTCATTTCCTGCCCCTGCTGCAGTGTGGCACAGCTGGGGGGGTGGCACAATGACTGTGGTGGCAGCCCACATGTGGAGGGGGCCCTGGAGGCCCACCAGGAGGCTTATGTCCACTAGGCAGTCAGAAGTCCTATACCTACAGGTTGGGGAACTCCCCTCTTGTCAGCATGGAGGCGGAAAAGGATCTTGGAGTCATCATTGACTCCAAGATGAACGTGGGCCGGCAGTGTAGGGAGGCAGTTAGGAAGGCCAACCGTACCTTGTCATGCATCCACAGATGCATTTCAAGCAGGTCAAAAGAGGTGATCCTCCCCCTCTATGCAGCACTGGTCAGGCCACAGTTGGAGTACTGCGTCCAGTTCTGGGCACCGCACTTCAAGAGGGATGTAGACAGCATGGAGAGGGTCCAGAGGAGGGCCACTTGCATGATCAGGGGACAGCAGGGCAGGCCCTACGAGGAGAGGCTACGGGACCTGAACCTGCTCAGCCTCCACAAGAGAAGGCTGAGGGGGGATCTTGTGGCCTGTTATAAACTAGTCAGGGGGGATCAGCAGGCATTGGGGGAGTCACTGTTCCCCCGAGCACAGCCAGGAGTGACCAGGAATAACGGTCACAAGCTGGCAGAGGGTAGGTTTAGGTTAGACATCAGGAGGTGCTATTTCACGGTCAGGGCGGCTAGGGTCTGGAACCAACTTCCAAGAGAGGTGGTGCAGGCTCCTACCCTGGGGGTTTTTAAGAGGAGGTTAGATGAACACCTTGCTGGGGTCGTTTGACCCCAGTACTCTTTCCTGCCATGGCAGGGGGTCGGACTAGATGATCTGCTAAGGTCCCTTCCGACCCTAGAAACTATGAAACTAAGTCAGACAGCCCTGCCACAATGGTGCTAAGGCAGCGCTTTTTGCTTGAGTGAAGTCCTGACCGTGTTGCTAACAGATGGTGGTGGATTGTCCTTGAACCTGAAAGGTGACTTGAGCTCCGTGTTACCTTGTAGGCACCCGGCAGGCTCTAGCCTTAAGTCTGGTCTCTGCTCACAGTTGTGGTGGGGGGGTCATGTCCCCTTCTTTTTCTGTACCACACACTAGTGTTACCCACATTCCTGCCTAGGAGACGCCTTTCAGTCACTCCCTTTGGATTGTTCGTGTAAAGGATTACAGGACCTTCCCCTGGCAATGTATATGCCCACTGCCCCCCAATATTTTATA